TATCATACTTTTGCCTTTTAAATTAGTAGAGGAATACATTTTAATCTGTCTGCTTTTAATCAAGTTAATGTTTCTTCCATAGAATGGTGCTTCAATGATTTTTATATGTTATAAGGAGAACCTAAACTTGAGATCAGTTGGTCTGTTCTGCTCCTTTACTTTTACATACCCTCCAATGTTTCTCCGATGAAAATAGGGACGTCTCATTCCATACTGATAATTTTACTATTTATACTCCACATCTAATTGGGTTGCCCCAGCCACTCTGGGCAGCTTCCAACATATATAAAAACATAAAAAAAGCATTAAAAAAAACACTTCCCTATACAGGATTGCCTTCAGACCAGTGGCGTAGCGTGGGTTGTCAGCACCCGGGGCAAGGCAAGTAATTTGCGCCCCCTAACCCGTGGATTTGCGCCCCCTAACCCCCAGATGTTGCGCCCGCCCCCCTGCACCCCCCACGCTACGCCACTGGAGGGACTCCCAAGAAGGTGAAGCGGGACTTCACCCCAGGGTATCTCGGAAGCCCTCGAGGCAGCGACGCTTCCACCCCCTGGAAACAGCAGGAAGGGAGAGCGCTCTTGTGCCCCGGTCCTGCTTTGAGTGCTTCTCATTGACGCGTCTGCTTGGCCACTCACTCTACATGGGCCCTTGTGGCCTTGATCCAGTAGCCGGGTCCTTCTTTGGAAAGAGCGAGCGCCTCCCTCCGCCCCCGCCACACGGAGCTCAGCCTGCACGTGGGCAGGCCCTTTGCGTCACGTGCGCTTGGCGCGCTGCTCTCTCCAGCTTCCTCCCGGCCGGGCCAGCGGCTCCACCTCTTTTCCTTTGCCTTTGAGCCGCTTAATTCCCAGCAAGCAATTAGCAGGCTCGCTCCACCTCCTCCTCCTCCCGGCTTTGCTGCTGCTGCTGCGAGGCTCTTTTCCTCCACCGACGGCGCGCTGCGCCTTGGAGAGGTTCCCGCTTCCTCGAGGGGGGCCGGCCAAACGCGCCCCCAAAAATGTTGCGCCCGGTGCGGCCGGCACCCCTGGCACCCCCCACGCTACGCCACTGCTTCAGACGGCTTAGGGGTCAGATAATTCCATACCCTCCAACATTTCTCCAATGAAAATAGGGACTTCCTAATGAAAAGTGACACATTCTGGGATCAAATCAGAAACCGGGACGGCTTCTCTAAATCATGGACATCCCTGGAAATTAGGGGCTCTTGGAGGGTCTTCTTTTGGCGGTTGTGAATTTTGATAGACATGCCTTTCTATCACGGTGGTTTCTGTGTGATGTAACAGTGTGATGTAAAAGTCAAATTAATTTCAGAACTTGCTGATCCAAAGGCTGCATACCTGGCTGGCAGAAATCAGTTTCTTTTTCTAAAAATCCCAAAGCAAATATTAGCAATTACTGTATTTTTCCGTGTATAAGACACCCTCATGTATAAGATGCCCCCTATTTTGGGGGGCTCCAAATTAAGAAAACACCCCTCAGCACTACCTGTGTATAAGACGAGCCCCTATTTTAAACCTATTTTTTTTTGGTAAAAAACACACCCTAGTCTTATACATGGAAAAATACGGTATTTTCCATTAACAGATTCTAGGGAGATGCTGACATACCTGCTCATTTGTGGGATGCTCTCTCCAGAGAGGCTCACCTGGCGCCATCATTATACATCTTTAGGCACCAGGTGAAAATGTTTCTCTATAACCAGGCCTTTGGCTTATTAACATTCTATGCATTTTAAAATGTGCTGGGGGTGCTATTGGTTTGTTTTTGTTTTAATGTGTATTTTGTATTTTTATGTTGTGAACTGCCCTGTGATCTTTGGATGAAGAGTGGTATACACATGTAATGTAATAAAATAAAAATGTGTATCTTTCACAGGTGCATTAGAAAAGACTCAGTCTTGCACCTTGGCTTGTTTAACTTTTTATTCATTGGAGATTTGTAAAGTCTGCTTTTCCACAGTTTGAGCAGTAGAACAGTCTTTTTACAGCCTGTCTTATTAAAGTCCAGGATTTCATTAGCTGTTTTGTGCTAAGAGAATCTGATGGAATTCTCATTTAGAATTCTGCATACACTACAGTTTACTTTGCTCTTTCTGAATAAGATGCAAGAGGAGGATTAATATGGTAATGTTTGCTCTACTGGAAGGGGGGGGAGGGAATGTCGTACATTAAAACCATTGTGGGTATTTACTATTTTAGCGAGGTAGCTCATAGCCATTAATTTAAAAAATGACAATTGGGTAGTGATTAAAATAGAACTCATTAAAAACTTTTGGCAGGTCTACATATACAAAATCCATATTAAGTAAAAAAGAAAAAGAAAAATGGCCTCACATTAAAATGTGGTTTTTAAAATGGCAGCTTCTTTGCATTATTAATATAAAGGATAGAATTCAGCATTGCACCATTACAAACATTTCCTTCAAGCAAGATTGTTCTGGTGTTCTCCTGATTCACCCAGAGCCAGTTTTAGGGGAAATCCCCATGGTATAAGCAGAAGCCATTGTGCAGGCCTCTTGTTGACAGGATTTGATAGTGAATCCTGCCCAGTTGTTTTTTTAAAAAATGTTTTTAAAGTTTTTTTTAAAATTTTAAAAAATCAATATCCACAGTTGTTGAAAAACTGAGGGAAAAACAATGATGCCTGTGTTGATGTGATTGCATAACATCGTAATAATGATGTCCATGCAGTATTGGGGAATTGAGGCAGGTTCATCACCTTCTAGAATAGTTTTGCTATCTCTTTTTCTCTGTTCCCGCTGAAGAAAAAGGAGCATTGTTCTGACACACACACATTTCTTATCAGACTGTCAAGGGAAGCAGCACAGAGCTGCAGGAGACAGTGAAGGCATATGCCTTGACCACTGGAAACTACTGCCCTCCAGCTTCAGTTTTTTAGCCCACTTTTGTATACTTAACTTTCATTCTAGCATCAAATGCTAAAAAGTTTTTTTAAAGGTTGCCAAAGCTTGTGAATTCTGCACAAAGCATCTGCACCATGCAAATCACAGAATCGTGCAACATATATAGAGTTGCGTATAAGAATACAGATGTGCTCTTACATCAGACACAAAATTTATACACTTGTTATAATAGGATCCCTTGAGTTCACACTTGTTTTGCAAAGAATACCAAGGAGACCGGTATCAAGAAGCAGAGGCTGATTTCATTTCCCTTGCTTCCTTTCTACTCCCTTTTCAACAGACGATTTGTGCAAGATCTCTGTTCCCCTCCAAACTGTGACATTTTAGAGCAATTCCTATAAGCTCTCTTTACAAGAGGAAAGCTTGTATTCATGTTACCCCACCTGTAGACTTGTTTAAAAACAAGAGAGCTTTAGAACAGGAAAACCTCAAGTATGTTGGAGAATCTTAATGCAGAACTACCAACAACTTAACTCACTTTATCCATGCCCTTTGCCCCTGAGGCAGGAAGAATTATACAGTCATCATCTACAATATTAGATCTGATGGAGCTGGGGTAAGAAGTGCAAAGGGAAATATGTTGGCCAATAAAGGCCCAGAGACTGTACTATTAGTTGGCTACTGTGAATAGGTCTGATGGAGGAACGTGATGGATTCACCATGGATTGGTAAAATTGGTACAGGGGCCTCTTTTCAGTCTGCCCTGGAAATCATGGCTAAGCATAGAATCATAGCTGCAAAAAACCATGAGAGTCACCTAGTCCAACCCCTTGCAATGTCAGAATCTTTTGCCAAGTGAGGGGTTTGAACCCACAAACCTGAGATTAAAAGTCCCATGCTGTACTGACTGAACTATCCCAGGTCCTTAAACGCCATGTAAACTCCCCACAACGTGGCACCGATCCACACAAATGACAACTGCACACGACTGCCATAGCAGGCTGCATACTCCCAATGATGACTGCATGGTGGCTACTTGGTATAAAACCAGCCCATAGAATAGATAATGACTTATTGGTGCTCAAACCATGCAAAGCAACAGCTATTGGACAGCAATCACTTCATCAACTTAATTTTTTTACCAACTTATTCCTAAATAAAGATACAAACAATACTATATGTGGTTGGGTGAGGAACAAACACAATAGGTTGTATCCATCAAAGTTCAATTCACAGCAGATCCACTGACCTTAATAGACCAAAGTCCATTAACTTCCATGGGTCTGTAGAACTAGTTTTGGGTACAGTCCAATGACTGGAACCATGAATTATCCCATCAAGCAATTTAGACAGTCGTGATTGTAGTAATTTAAAGACATTTCTTTAAAAGAAACATTGGGATGGGAGTGTCAAGATGATCTCTGGAGAACGGTGTGATGGGGTGAATGAAGCCTGTTTGGCTGAAGAGGCTTCAGCATAAAACTAGTTGTGGCTGCAAATTCATGAAATTCACTGTGTTAGCAACACCCTAGTGGTCCCGGGCCCTAAGGAAGTTAGATTAGCCTCAACCAGAGCCAGGGCCTTTTCAACACTGGCTCCGGCCTGGTGGAATGCTCTGTCTCATGAGACCAGGGCCCTGTGGGATCTGATTTCTTTCCGCAGGGCCTGTAAGACAAAGCTGTTCCGCCTGGCCTTTGGCTTAGAATCAATTTGATTCCCTCCCCCTCTTTCTTTTTTCCTTTCACCTCCTGTGAAGAGGCTGCATCTTAATGTTTTATTTTAATCTTGTTTTTTAAGTTGTATTTTAATCAACTTGTTTTTATTATTGGTTGTTAGCCGCCCTGAGCCTGGTCTTGGCTGGGGAGGGCGGGGTATAAATAAAATAATAACTATTATTATTATTATTATTATTATTATTATTATTATTATTATTATTATGTTAAGTCTTGCCTCAATGTATTGAACCCAAACTTATTACAGACAGGGAAATGAATTGAGCAAGGACACAATCTACTAGGAAGTTCTACAGTGGAAACCCCATTGAAGTTAGCAAACACTTCTTGGTAGATTAAGGAGGAAAGGAGGAGTGGCGAAATGACATGGGAATTTCAGTTCTAAAAATTCACAATGCTACATATTTAATTTATATAAAGTTTTATTGATAGAATGCAACACTTCCTCCACTGAGCATTTATTATAGTTAGGTTCTTTCCACATAAGCAACATAATTCAACACAATCTGCCCTCTATTTCCATTGCTTCATACATTAGAGACTATTTTCATACATAATTCTTTATAAAGACATCCGAGCAGCAAAAAAGGAATGTTTAACACAGCATTTTCCAAACTCTTTAGTTTAAGCCTCTATCAAGCCTTGTCAACCCATGTTTTCAGGCCAGCCACTGTCCCAAGACCAGGGGGTGGTTTTTTTAAACAGAATTATTCACCTACGCAGGCATGGCCAAACTTGACCCTCCAGCTGTTTTGGGACTACAACTCCCATCATCCCTAGCTAATAGGCCCAGTGGTCAGGGATGATGGGAATTGTAGTCCCAAAACAGCTGCAGGGCCAGGTTTGGCCATGCCTGACCTAGGCCATGTAGAGAGCCCCTCTGCAGTGACAGGATTCAAGCCCATTATCTAATCTGGATCTGGGGACAAATGAAAGTGTTCTAATAAAAGAGATATTCAGTTGATCAAAATCTGAATGCTTTTATAAGACTTGGCCATCCTTCAGAGACTGTTTAATTATGACAGCCAGGCACGTACACATACACACACACAGACCTGAGATATAAAAACTGCGCTGTTTGGGTAGCTTGTTCCTAAGCCAGTGACAATTTTACTGTGTCAACTTTTATTTAACATTTCCCCTAACATGTATTTAACATTTATCCATCTAATTAGGCAATCTATTTCCTGCCTTTTGACAGAGGGCTGATGTAAGGCATCTAAAAAAAGGGGTGTGTGTATCAGATAAATATTAACATTTATTTATTTTTAAATTTCACACTACACTTTTCATCCCACTGAAATACAATTAGCTTTTAAGTTAATAAATGGGGTGTTTCGTTGCTATATAAATCGAGGCCTTAGAAATGCTAGTATAGTTACACCACAAAATTTATAATTCAATCCATTTTGATGGATAAAACATTTGCTGCAACACTGAAGGGTCTAATATTTAGATAATAAAAGATGGTGTGGGTGAAGGGAAGGTGGGTGAGAAAGAAAAGCAGCTGATATTCTAGTCAGAGTCTGAACTCTCTTGCTCGTTGGTCTGATACTGACAGACTACTTCTTCCAAAGGCGTCATTGTGCCATCTGGTCGCACTCCCATTGGTGTTATAACCTTGTCCCTGCAAATAAGAAAAGTATATAAGTTTTTTTTTATTAAAAAAAAGAGCAGAGAGAACTAGCCTATTCACCTCACAGGCAACGTGCCTCCACAACATACTTGTACGTGTAATGCTCAGCTACTCAAGTGTGATTTTTCTGCTCTCATAATTCAAGATCACTTCAGTAGCTCTGTGCATCAGATTAATTGTAGGCCTATAACAAAACTATAGGTTTCCCAAACTTCCGCCAAAGGTGGATGAAATCACTTTTATCTCTACCACAGTGCCAACATTTGCCATCTCTTCTCCTCATTTCCCCACTAGGTAGCTTTTGAAAAAGCAGATCTTATTAAAAAGAGAATTCAAAATGTCTTCTGATGCATATTTTTCTGGTCCATGGTCACCAACACTCTTAAAATATATATATATATATATATTGCTGTGAAATCTCATAGAATCCCCTCTTGTTTTTGTTGAATTATGTAAGTAAAATAAAATCAAATAAACCCAAACCATCAGAAGCAAGCACTGTATATTATAACTGGTAAAAACCCTGGAAAAATAGTCAGAAACCTAATAGAATGGATTTAGTAAGGAAACTCTGGGAACAAATGACTAAAAACAGAAAAATGTTTAGAAATTATAAGGAGTTTGAATTTAGTAACACAATGTACAAAAAAGGATTAAAAATCTCAAGGAGTAGATCATTTGTTTATTTAAAAGAAGGAAAGGAATGAAAAGAAGTACCCTCTCTTGCTCTGAAGCATAATTAGGTAATAACATGTTTTATATTTATTGACAATTTGTCATAATTTTAATATGTATATTTAGAAGTATATAAAAGCATTAGCAAATCGACCAATTATGCATATACTGAACTGTATGTTTTCATTAGATAAGGAATAATTATCTAAATGAAAAAGCCAACACTAATTGGGGGGGGGGAAATCCAGATATTAAGTCATTCTCATTTTTGAGGGAGCTCAAATCCTTACTATGAAAGGGTGAACAGAGCTTCATACAAAATTGATTGGTGGGGGAAACAGGAGCACAACACTAATAAAGACCTAATTCAGGCAGGCCACATTCATGGAGCCAATTAAGACCAATATGAAAAAAAGAGAAGTCAACCACTAATGGGCTAAGGACAAAGAACAGGTTCTCTGTTTAAGTAAAAATAGGGAAATAAAGAAACTGCCTTTGTTAATTCTTAAATCCTGCTAACATGGCTGTCGATATCCCACCTGTCATGTGGGGAGCAGCTACCCCTCCTGCTTAAAACCACAACTGCATACATATTCATTTCACTGAGTGAAAGTAGTCAGTCAGGAAAAGAGATCTGGGCTACACAGCCAGCCTCTAGTGGTGCTTAAGGACTTGTGGATTCATTTAGATTCAGTCAGCTTTCTCTCGCTCTCTGCCGCCCCTCCTTTTTCTTTTTTAAACTGTTGCTTTTGTTTGCAGCTGTTTAATTACAGGATTGACAGCCATTTTAATCTCTTCAAAGCTCTGAAGGCCTCTCACAGCTAATCCAATTATATCTACTCCACAAGCTACAGCCTCATGTAAAGATGATTAATTATTGATTAAGCCAATCAAACAGTATTAGCAAAGATTTATTTAAGCCTTTCATTGCCTCACATCTGATTATAATCTCGTTTATTATATGTGGATTATGGAAAAAGCTGTAAGGCCAAGGAGGGCAACATTTTGATCCTCCAAAAAAACACACACACACAAAAAAAAACCACACCGCACCCCATCACCCCCACACCATATTTTCAGAGATTATTTTTTTAAGAATACATCACTCTTCATAGGTGTTTCAAAACTGGTTTAGGAGAGGCCCATCACAGTGTCAAAATTGGTTATACAAAGAATGAAATCACCAAGAGAGACATGAAATAGGGTACTTTGAGCCAGTTAAGGCTGCAACCCCTATACTTACCTGGCTGTAAGTTCCATTGAGCTTAATGGAGCTCATTTCTGATTAAACATATATAACGGAGTGCACTGTAAGTGAGTGATGTCAGGGAAGCAGGAAAAGTAGCAACTTATTATAAAATATAGCCACAAACCCAACAGCGCAGCAACACATGTTCTGAGTAATGCAGGTGCAGGAAGATTATAGGAAAATTAAGAGAATAGTGGACTTCATTCCTATGCAATACTTCCGTAATACAGAACTACTTGCCACATTCCAAAAACCTGACCACCACAGGGTAGAAATTTTAGCTCTGTCCTCTAAAATATGAAGTACAGCCCATAATCCATCACTCTAAGAAAACTATTTCACACACAGAATTTTTTAATCTTCTAAATGAAGCAAAGGGGAAACCATCAGAACCAAACATTTTGCAAGGCAGAATTATGACTTCTGGGGCACTTTTCATAATTTTTTTCCAAACAGAGACACATGTATTAATATATTTTATGAACATGTTTGACTGACCCTTGATTGAGAACTGCCAAATAAGTTTGGAGGATTTTTTATAAATAAAAAAGGATTATATTCAACAATTCTTAGAAAACATGCCATAATGAAAACCTTAACATGATGCATTCTCCTTCTCTGTTAGCAGATACCCCATTAATCCCTTCAGATTCACCTACACAATCTTTGCTTCTGCCTCCTGCTTGCCATTTAGCTTGATAACGACTCCAAAACCATTCCCTTGTTTTCAAGGGTCTTTCTTTCTTGCCTGCCCTGTGCACAACAGGTCAGTGTTAACACATGGAACTAATGGCGGTTCTCTGTAATGAAACAATCACATTGCAAACACCGGCCTGTTCCTTTGATAAAATAGTGTATTGGGGACCTATTCACCTCCCTATAATTGAGTGCTACATAATAGTGCCGATCCTTTTATGTACAATATTTTGTTCCACAATTAGAAAAGGCGAGGAAAAACCTATGGAAGCGTTGCTTTCTTCAGTCACTGCCATGATTAATTCTGTATTTTTAATGAGTAAGGCTGCTACTTAGGCCAGTTCTGTGGCATACTTGTTTTGTTGACTTCGTGTCAATGTACAACAAAACCCAAACTATGGTAATTGGGACTGTTTCATCAGCAAAAGCATTCCTGCTATTAATACAACATTGGCTTGGAAAAAGCACTCTGTCGTTTTAATTCAGACTATTAATTCATAACTGTGCCACCAATTTATAACTGCAGGAAAAAGTATTTAATAAGCATTTTAATTAATACGGAAAACATCCAGGCATGCATGATGTGCAAACACAAAGAATTGCAGACTAGTTGTTTAATTTAGCTATATTTTACATTTTATAAAACAGAGGGCAGTTTTGGGAATGCCAGTGTTTGACAGATTAGGAAAAACAGATTCTTAAACATTAGATATCTAGCACTCTTCTGGAATACTGTGCAAAGCTTTCTACCGCTACTCTTTGAGTATTTACATGATTCATCATTTAAAAGGAATCCTACTAAGACTCTCCAAGTCAAACAACCTTGATATTCTTCATAACATCTAAATTATGAAGAAAATGTGTCTAGACCCAAAAGAATACAAAACATTTATCCAATTATTTGGAAAGCTTCATGCTCATATATGGCTATTGAGGAATATTTGGGTTTGTGCATTTGCAGCAGCACAGTTGGATGTCTTCATCTGCCCCAGCTGCAACAAAACATATCTTTCCCATATCAGTCTCTACAGCCACAGCAGGCACTACAACCTTCCAATAGCTTGATCTCACCCCCAAAGGCACACTCCTCCATTGTCTCTCGAAATAGAAGGATGCCAACTAGCTTCCAAAGCTCCAGGTAACCTCATCAAGCAGCTTCATACAGATGTCAAACAGCACTGGAGATGGAATGGAACCCTGAGGAAACCCATGGATTAACTTCCACAGGGTCAATCAAACAGAGGTCTCTCAATGCTATCCTCTGGAACTGGCCTGCTTTGCAGAACCACTGCAAAACTGTGCCTTCTGCTTCCAACCCACCGAGTGTGTCCAGTAAAATACTATGGCTGATGGTACTAAAAACCACTGACAGGTCCAGGAAAATTAATAAGAGACTCCATCTATCTCAGAAATCATCTGTCAGGGCTACCCAGGCCATTTTAGTCTCAAGCCCAATCTACAGAGCCAAAGAATTTCTCCCTCAGAAATGAAAAGCAACTTAGTTACATTACCTAGAAAGCTTATCAAACATATTGACAAGTTTCATTGCTTCATATTCTTTTTGTTCTTCAGTCATTTCGTCCATTGGGTTGGGCATTGGTTCTTCTAAATGACCTGTAATAAGGTTTATGCTTTGTGGTCAGGGGGCGGGGAGGGAAGGGGAAAGAGAATATAAGAAAAAATAAGATTTTTTTCCATGAGGCAGCTTTAAAAAAACCAATAACCAATAATCCTTCACAAAGCTTAGTCTTTATTGACTTGATAGCTGACATCTAAGACACATGAACATACCTAAATGCTTAATGGCACCAAAACCTGTGAGTAGCCCCAACTTTCAAATCTACATTGGCTTATCTAGTTTGGCTTATCTACCAAAGAACCCTTAGTAATAAGCTCACTAGGCAGGCAATTCTAGGAGTACCTCAGGCACCCATTGCAATCAAGGTCACTTGAAGCTACCGTATTTTTTGCTCTATAAGACACACCTTTTCCCTCCTAAAAAGTAAGGGGAAATGTGTGTGCGTTTTATGGAGTGAATGCAGGCTGTGCAACTATCGCTGAAGCCAGAACAGCAAGAGGGAGAGCTGCGCAGCAATCCCTCTTGCTGTTCTGGCTTCAGAGATAGCCGTGCAAAGCCTCTTCAGCAACATTTGATTCAGTATTTTTTTTTCTTGTTGTTTTCCTCCTCTAAAAACTAGGTGCATCTTATGGTTGGGTGCATCTTATAGAGCAAAAAATACGGTGATCAAAGTTTTAGTCCACAATTCAGCCCTTTGTGATAAAACAGAGGTCCAAAAAATTAAAGAACATATCTTAGACAATGTTAGAGACTAGACCAGGGGTGGCCAACATGGTACTCCTCCAGAGGTTGTAGACTACAACTCTCATCAGCAAAGGTCATACGAGTTGTAGTCCAAACATCTGGAGGATACAAAGCTGGCTACCACTAGTCTAAGCTTAATACAATGGAGGGGAGAGGGGTTGAGGTGAGAGACCCAAGCAGTACCATACTTTGGCTTTGCAGATTTGTATTCTTCAGTGTCTGTATCTTCGTCATCCGAGTACCAGGTTTCCCCTCTTCCTCCTGCTAATAGGCCCCTTGCTGCCAGTAGCCCAGCTGCATTGCCATAGCCAGTGTACTTCAGTAAACTGTCAACTGAAAAGTGAGGGAGAGAGTTCTACAAGTTTGTTAAATATAAGTCACATTCAAACATAAACGAAGTCTTCAGATTGTCTGAATGCTCCCTGTCTGATGTGGCATGGAACAGTTCTCTTGTTAAGATGCCAGTGAAATTGGCATGTCTTCTGCTTTTCTACAGAACTTAAGAGTTGAGAAAAAGAAAAAAGTTCTTCAACTGAGGAAAGCAGCATGCAGGGCTTAAGGAAAATATTGTCACCTAAAGTAACCTAATTTAAACCTTGATTTTAGAATTTTACACTTCTTGTGGCAACTAAATACTTGTATTTCCAATTTCTTACATAAAATGCAAGATGTTTATATATAACTATACAGTACAACTGTCCATACTGGTGAAATGACAACACTGTTAATGTGGGGGGGGGGGAGTCAAAGAGTTGCCTCTAATTCAGACATGCAAAATAAACCCACTAGGTTTATTGTCCCACCTGCCCATATTCAAGTAGGCATTTGTTACATATTACAACTTCAATAAACTCTACCAGTTTAAAAAACTTTCATTTGTGATTGTTCAGAAGCATATTCTATTTGTCAAGAGATAACCAGGCAAGCAATTGTTCAGAAGTCTGGAATAACCACCCACATTCATTATAAGAACCAGCCTGTACCTCTCTCCTTACAAAGAACAAAAAGGAATTCTGCAGCGATTTGCTTCACTCCTAGGTCAACGTGAGTCATGAGCCGTACTAGTTTGTTTCTCAGTGTTGTGCCAACTTCAGGGCGATTAGATACATCTCTCAAGGGAGGCAACACCTAAAGACAAAAGCAAGTAATAAGAGCAATTAATCTCCAGTGGAAAGTGTTCACCACACTTTCTTATTCAAAAGTATTTGTAAAAATTCTGCTTTAACACTCTGCCTAGCTCTACAATGAGGTCTTAGCCCCATTTCTTTGTTGCTGCTGAGCAACTCCTAGTAAGAGAATACAGGGAAGAGACCCAGCTGCTCAGACCCACTCGCTTGCCTCAGAGGTCATCAGTGGGAGACAGTGCCAGATAGGAGACCAAGGGAAAAGGACAAGAGCAAGAAATGATGCCTGAATAATCTTGGTTCCATATGGGCATCATGCAGCTTCCGTTCCTGTACTCCAGGGATGGGAAACCTGCCCCCCCCCCGGAAGCTGCTGGTGTTTAATTCCTGTCAGTCTCAGTCAGCCTGGCCAATGGGCAGGGACAATGGTTGCTAGATTCCAACTCCATCTCAAGGGCCAGAGGTTCCCCCATTTGAGTGTGAGTTTTTTGCAAGCAATAATTTTGCAAGCAACTCTAAGGGCTTCCCAGGGCTATAAAACAAGATAAAGGTATCATATAAATATAAACAAGATCCCTTAATATTTAAAATAGCCTTCCTGTCAAGTGTTTGCATTCCTTTGTTACCTTTATCTCTGTGGTATCTCACCTGAGCTTTAATAAACTTCCTTATGTTCCGGTGAGATCGGCAGCATCTTGTTAGCAAACTGAGAACTGGAGTGAGACCTTCCCGATAGCTGCTCCCCTAGAATAAGAAATAACAAGACACATCATTTTTCTTCCAAGAACACTGGGATTTTCTGTCATACTCCATATTCCTGCTCTAGTGTTTCTCAAAACAGGTCACCAAGTTTCCCCAGCAGGTCCCTCATGTCTTTCCCATACCATTTAAAGAGCATTTCCACACCTGAAAATTCACAAATGAATGCCTCCAGAGCTGTGATTGGCTAATGTTCCCAGGCGTGTTTATGACATGTTTTCAGACATGCGGATGATTTTCAAATATTCCTGATCATGATGTATGCATTGTACATTGGGCTGTCTCTGAAAAAGGTTTGGAAATCAAAGCTACTGCAGAATGTAGCAGCCAAAACATGGACTGGGACTACACAGTCTAAACTACATTGGCTGCCAATCTGAAGTGCTGCCTTTGACCTGCATGGTTCAAGACACCAATACCTTAAAGCCTCCTTTCCCCTGTATAAGCCTATCTAGACACTGAGATCATCATCTGAATACATCCTGCGTGTCTCCACCAAGAGATACTTGTAGGGTAGCAACAAGATAACAGGCCTTATGGAACACATTGCACAAGGATGCTCACTTGGTCCCAACACTGCCTTCCATGTATTAGACAGCACTTTTTGGTCTGCCTTTCAATAGTTGTTTAGTGTTCATTCTTGTCTAGGAAATGATATTTTCTGATTTTGGATGAATGATGTGTTCCATCTGTACTGTATTATTTTAATGGCTATGTGATGATATGTTGGGGTGTGTGTGCGTGTGTGTGTGTGTACCTTTGCACACACACACACACACACACACACGAGGACTTACGCTGATTGTAAGAAGCAACAAATAGCTTTTACTTTAATACAACTAATCAGTCTATGTTTCATTTGTGGGTTTGATATTAAAAGTAGTGCTTCAGTGAGAAATAGCTGTATGTTTGTGTGTGCACATGCTGTTTTGTTTGCTCTGCACAGAGGATCCCTCAAATATGGCATAAATATTTGTTTTTATGCCCCCCCTAGTATCTAATCAAAATATTGATATCAATCACACTCATCTTTCTACACACTTGTATGTGATTTGGTTTGCAGGCAAACACTGAATATGTAACACAATTTGTTAAAATAAAAAACCTAGGTAGACCCAACTACCTGATTTTGCATTTCCCCAAGGCCATCTTCCAACCTTGAAAATATTAGATGGTTAAGAATAGGTAAAAACTCGGGGATTTCTGATTCAGGCCCATTTTTGTTATTAAGAGATAGCTTGTGTCAGCTTTTAAGGCCCAACAAGACATTATACTGCAAACCATATAACAGGTTCGCAACAATGTGTGCTTTTATTCAAGTGACAAAAGGCCACAAATGTGATTGGTGAAGTGACCAGGCGGTGAGGGGGATGCTTAATGCTTTTCTCCAAATCAAAGTCTTTCCAGAGGTGGCTTTTCCACGCACAGCTGTTTTAAAAGATGGCATTTGTCACAACACAACAAACATGTAATTAATGTATAAAAACAATGACTTTAGCTCTTATATAAAACAATCTAACCTTGTCAATTCTCTTCTCCATGAACTTCAATAGCACCTGAATTGCATCCATATTCATGCCATTGTATTTGATATCTGTGTCCTCGGGATCCTCTTGTGTTGATGGACTGATAAGGACATCCAGACAAGAAACTGGAACGTTGCTTAAAAGGTTGATTGCGTTGCTGAAACAGATTTTAAAAACATTCTCATTCATGACACTATTTTCTTTACACAGTGCCAGCAAATATCACATCTGAATGCCAAGCATTTGTGTTGAAGAACCTGTATGTAATACTAGCATAACAGCAGATTATAATGCTGTACTGGTATAACACATAGTACACCCTATTCTAAGATTTCATCTTAGATTCCAAAGAATTTTCAGGGATTTGGTAGACTTTGGGGAGATTATCAAATAAAGGAAAAGGTAAATTCCAAAATTTAAATAACAACAGGATTGCAGGTATACTTCGATGGAATGGAAGCACAAAGTGCAGAAGAAGGTACAGAATTCACCTTCCTAAGATTCTTAGCATTTTTAAGCAGCAGCAAGTTCTTAACCTTTTAAAAATTTGTTTATTAGATTTATATGCCACACTTCCTCTCAAAGGAGCCCAAGAGTGGCAAATGCCCAAAGAATAACACGTTTACAAATAATTCTAATACAGATGAGGACTGGGAAAGTTCTCTACTTTAAAGGCTTGTTTGAAGAAACCAAAAGCTACTCCCTGGCGTGACAGCTTCCCATGAATGGGCACACACAAAAACCCCCTGTTGTATTTCTTTCACACACACTGAAGTCTTTGGCCATGTAACGAACACGTGATGTCACTTGTAGTCTGGGGTTTGGCCCATTTGAAGCATATGTTATGTGAGTATGTTTTGCCTTCTCATTGTGCCACATATATAGCCTGGATTGCGTTGTGGTCTGTGCAGGGGCCCAACAGCATGCACAGATAGTACTACTTGGTGGTCAGGGACTCAAATGAAATAGAGGCTTTCCTGAGATTATGTGATAAAAATAAATAAATAAATCCAGATCTCGCCATTTCTCTCAAACAAGCCCTAGGGCAGCAAGGACTGTTGTGAAGCCACAAAAGGATCACACTCCCCTAGGTGAGCCCTGCCTAGGCGCCATAATTTTTTACTTCAAGAACTGGCAATCCTACAGGCAACTGGCAGTAGAGAGAAAAGTCTTATGGGAAAGTAGTGAGGAGAAGTCTGGGGAAAAGAACACAAGTGAGCAATCTTCATTAGAATCTATGCGCTAGTGATGTCATACATATAACCCTACCACCCATTCAGGCTTCTGGTTGGCCACTGTGAGAACAGGATGTTGGATTAGATGGGCCTTTGACCTGCTTCAGCAGGAGACATCCTACGTTATTATGACAGCATTTGCTTGGAGGCAAAGGAAATAGCTGCTTTGGTAAATGGCAGCATGGAGATTGTTAGCAGGCTTCAGTTCCTTAGCTAAGAGATGCTTCTTGAAATGCACTGGGAATAGCAATTTATACCAATTTGTCTGTTCTGGGTTTGTTTTTTTTACAAAAGAAGAAAAACCTTTACAATGCTTACTCAGCCCTGGCAGTTGTGTTAGGATTTATATTACATTTTGATAAGTGGTTTTGTCTTGTTGGTGTATAATTTGCATTCCTTTTCCTGCTGTGTATAAATTTTATGACCTAGCACTTTATGGTTTCTATGTATTAAGCAAATTAAAAGTTGCCATTCTGAAAAGATGATGTTCTAGAATAGCAAGATTGAACCTAGAGAAGGGTTTTAGGAGAAAATTGCATTGTTATTCTAAAACACACCTGTGATGGGATGATGAGCTGCTTGTGCGTAAAATGCAAGTCCCTCAGAGTTTGATCAGGTTTTCAAACCTCTGCCTGTGACGGAGCCCCTCCGGCATGGCTGCGTCAATCGCTAGCAGAATCCGAAAGTGGTTGCTTTCGGAATCGTTTCCAACATAAAAGCTCCTTAACGGAAACACGTCTTCTGGACTCTCGGCGTGACAGTTTCCGGCGAGGAGTGGGTGCCCCTATAGGAGGTCCTGAGACCTCCCCACTGTTTTCGCTGGAAGCGTCTCTGAGCCATCCCTCCGACTCACTTTCCCTTGGAGTTCCTGCTCTCCCCCTACTGGTTCCCTCTTCAGCTGCTACGTCTCTCTCAACCTCAGTGAGCCTTTGCACCTCCTGTCCTTCCGATGGCAGTTCCCTGACATCCACCTCCCCTCCAGGGCCCCCTTCACCCCCTCCCGTCTCCTCCCCTATGGGCGGTGAGGAGGTAAAACCCCTGAAAGAACCTCCCTCATCTTCCGAAGTCTCGAACACTTCCCTCCACTTGTTGCTGTCCCTGGTCTCTCGGTACTCCTCGTCATCGGAGTCCATTCCCTCTTCCAACTCCGAATCCGCGAACCCTTCCAGTTCCTCTTCCTCGTCGGTGGTGCCGAAATACTCCCTCCTAAACCTTGCTACCGGCTGAGGTTTCCTCGGGAATCTTTGGTGGAACGTTTCTATTAAAACCTCGTCATTGACCTCCCCTGCAGTCACCCAGGTGTTTTCTGACTCCGGTTCCCCTTCCCACGCCACCAAATACTCCACCTGATTTCCCTTCCACCTGGAATCGAGGATTTCCGCTACATGGTTGCTGCGTTCCCTTTCTTCCAAGGCTGGTCCCCTGGCGTGCTCCCCTTCACGTCCCCCCCTGTATGGTGACAGTAACGACCTGTGGAACACTGGGTGCAATTTCATGTGGTTGGGTAACCGGAGTTTGAAAGCCACTGGGTTGACCTGCTGAATGACCTCAAAGGGTCCCAATCTTTTGGGTCTCAATTTCTTACAACCCCCTTTGAACGGCAACCCTTGGGTTGACAGCCACACCTGATCCCCCACCCTTATGGTTTCACCTTCCCTTCTGTTCTTGTCTGCCTGCTTCTTATATTGTGCCTTGGCCCTTTCTAAGTTGAGCTGGAGCTGACGATGGATCGCTTCCATCTCTTCTACAAAATGTTCGGCCGCTGGGACGCTCCATCTCTCCCCTCCATCCCCTGGAAATGCCCTGGGGTGACACCCGTAATTAGCCAAAAAGGGGCTCATCCCTGTGGACACATTCTCCGCATTATTGTAGGCAAATTCTGCCAGCGCCAACTTTTCGACCCAATCGTTCTCTCTGTCATTGACATAACACCTCAGATATTGTTGGAGGATGCCATTTGCTCTTTCCGCCTGCCCGTTGGTTTCAGGGTACCGGGCAGTCGAAAAATTGACTTCCACGTGCAGCAAGCTCATGAGCTTCCTCCAGAACCTGGAAGTAAATTGTTTGCCGCGGTCTGAGATCACCCTCAAGGGGGCGCCGTGCAACCTAAAGATGTGTTCTACAAACAACTTCGCTGTTTCTTCCGCTGTGACTGCATGTGAGCATGCTACAAAGTGGCACATCTTAGTTAACAGGTCTACTACTACCATGATGTTTTCCCCTTGGACTTCGGCAGATCCGTCATAAAATCTATCGATACCGCTTCCCAAGGCCGCTCTGGTGTGGGTAATGGTTCTAATAACCCTGCCGGCGCCCTTCTTTCCCCTTTGGCTCGCTGACATTGGTCACACCCTCTTACATACTCCCTTACATCTTCCCTCACCTTGGGCCACCAAAATTCCCTGGTAACCAACCATATGGTCTTGTGTTGCCCAAAATGTCCCGCCGTGGGGCTATCGTGCAACTGCTTGAGTACTCTCCCCCTCAATTCACCTTCGGGTATATACAGTGCCCCTTTGTAATACAATGCCCCATTTCTTTCCTCAAAACCTCCGGGGCTCTCGCCCTCCCCCCTGAGACCTCTGAGCTTATCCTGGGCATATTCATCATTTTCCGTTTCCTCTACCAGTTCTCGTTGCCCCACCAGCGCCGCCCCACACACCCAGCGGTCCTCAGGGATGACATGTCTCTCTTCGATTGCCCCCTCCCCCTCCAAATACTCTGGTTTGCGTGAGAGAGCGTCCGCCCTGACGTTTTCTGGGCCTGGCACATAACAAATTTCAAAGTGGAATTTGGAGAATTCCTGTGCCCATCTCACTTGTCGTTGGTTGAGCACTCGAGCCGTTCTCCAATACTCTAAATTCTTGTGGTCGGTGCACACTTGCACCTTGTGTTGTGCCCCAATTAATAAATGTCTCCACCTCCGGAACGCTTCGTGAATGGCGAGTAGTTCCCTGTCATACACCATATAGTTCCTCTCGGATTTATTCAGCTTCCGCGAGAAGAAGGCACACGGTCTCCACTCCGACGTACTCCTCCCCGGTTGAAGAAGTACCGCCCCTACCGCCCGGTCGGACGCATCGGTTTCCACTCTCATGGGTTTTCGTAAATCCACATGCAGAAGTTGTTCTTCCGAGGCGAAAGCCCTTTTCAGTTCTTCAAATGCTCGCTCCGCCTCCGCCGTCCAAACAAATTTCTTCTTGCTGCTGAGGCAGTCGGTGATGGGCGCCGTCAAGTGGGCAAAGTTCTTGATGAACTTCCGATAAAAGTTCCCAAACCCCAGGAATCTTTGCACATCCTTCTTGGTCTTCGGTGTCTTCCATTCCAGTACCGCTTGGACCTTGCCTGGATCCATGGCCAATCCCTTGTCTGACAAGCGGTACCCCAGGAATTCCACCTCCTTGGTATGAAACTGACACTTCTCCAGTTTCACCCACAGCTGGTTGGCTTGCAGCCTGCCCAACACTTCTCGAACGTCCCTCACATGCTGCTCCTCATCCTCCGAATACACCAACACGTCGTCTAAAAAGGCCACACAATTCTTGTAGAGCAAAGGTCCCAGGACGTGGTTCATAAAAGCTTGAAAGCACGCCGAGCCTGCTTGTAGACCGAAGGGCATAACGAGGTATTCAAAGGCTCCCAAAGGGGTGAACATGGTGGTCTTCCATTCATCCCCCTTCCTTATGCGTATCAGATTGTACGCCCCCCGCAGGTCCAGTTTTGTAAAAATCTTTCCCTTCCTCACCCTGGTCAAAATGTCATCAATTCGGGGCATAGGGAAAGCCAGGGGTTCCGACACTGCATTCAGGGCCCTAAAGTCCACTACAAGTCTCAGCTTATCTGTGTTTTTTTTGTCCACAAAAAACACTGGGCTGCCCCCCACCGCTCGGGACTCTCTGATGAAACCTCGCTTCAGGTTTTT